TGTTAACATAATTTACATATCTGAACAAACACGTAATAACATAATAAACCTCTGATGTGGCAATAAAATAAGAAATAATTGTTCTTTGACTCGTTTAATTTAGAAACCAGTTCGTTGTTCAATATCCTATGATTTTTTGCATTAGCCTGTAAGAAGTTTATGACGTGACATTTATATGATTTCCCTTACTAAAATAATGCAAAATTATTCTCTTTAAAAAACTAAATTACCAAAAGTAAACATGTTTGGCGTTTAGAATCATCACCTATAAAAAAGATGAATTTTTAACTCTCATTACAAACTTTAATTTGATAAACGTATATCACCCTTAGGATATGTTGCCTGCTTTTTAACTTGTCTTTTGACGTCTTATCTGTGATATGCAGGCTTCATAACCTCTGATCCCCTTTCCAAATTCCATTTTATTAAGTTCCGCCCATTGTTTTCTCGTTTAGGGCACATGCATTTTATTACTTGGGGACCATACGCCGCTTTTCATGGAATGGCACGGAAGTGTCACATTGAAGGTTCCATGATAATCGCAGTATGAACACATCTGCGAATGTTTCTAAATTCAAAATTTTACCATTTCATGTTTAAATGTTAAATTCTGCTTAAGCCGGTGCTAGGGGGCGTGGACGGTAGTTTGCACTTTACAGTACCGTCCATGAACAGGCTCAATCAAACCGAGTCTGCAACATTTTCAATTTTGCCTTGGCCTTGTTGGATGAATTCGTTACTCTCATATCAAACTTAAATTTGATAAAAGTATATGGACTACAACATGTTACATTAATGTATTATAAAGACTAAATTGGTAATGATTGAACAGATGGTATGTTTGGGACAACCATAACAACTAAATAATGTTCAATGTTGAATATCCTAGAAAGAAAACTTTTTAAAAATATTGTTACTTATATTGTTTTGGGGTTTCCTTACAAACTTTATAGTTGATAATAAATCTTATGGGGTCGCAATCAAAACGGCAGCAGCAATTGGAAACACTTCAACGGAATACATTACGTTTTTATGCAATTGTTTGCACCATTTGTCTACCAGAACGCTTGACGTGTTTATGATGTCATCTTGATCTCTAAATGATTAGTTAACTAAGGTTCCTTTCGTTACACATCATTTGTGTATATCAAACAACGTTCTTCGAATTCTTTTTTAAAATCTTTGTCGGAAAGATCTGCATAACTGAAAATGTTGCAGGTTCGGCTTGATTGATCCTTTTCTTTGAGGGTACTGGAAAGTGCAAGCTACCGTTCAGGCCCTTGCTTCGGCTTCCGAAAAATTCAACTTCGAATTGAAACATCATACGGCGGAGATCATGTAACGTTCAATGTGGCACGCTAGTGTCATTCTATAAAACATCTTTAATGGTCTACATATAAACAAAATGCATTTTGGTACAAAAATCTCTAAATTTGAGTATTTAAATAAATGTTTCAGAAAGCCTTAATATCAAGCGTAACTTGTGTGAGCTTTTCATTTCAGACAATCTTTAGTATTTAATGAAAACTATAAATATATGTTGTATTGAAGAAATGACACGTAATTTGTTCTCAAGAGAATAATACATAAAAGCATACTTCAAAAAAGTGCACCTTGCAGTAAAGTAAGCAATAATTGGCACCGATAGTCTATTACAAAGCTGTTTGTTATTTTAAGAATTATACAAATATATCTGTTCATCGTCTGACATTACATTATTAAGAAACTCTATTTTTCTATTAACGATTGTCATTGTTGATATTTGAGTGTTGATTTGCTGTGTCGAAAAGTGTTGGTATTCAGTAAATTATTGGTTTTGAAAAATAGCAGTTTTGGAGAAATTTGCTTTGACATATATCTTAATATTTAGATATGAAAAGCCTTACAAAAATAAACAAATAAAGGGGAAAAATTATGAAGTAATAATAAGAAATAAAAAAAAAGAGTTTATACTTTATTATTACACGAATGAACACTAGCTTCAGCATTTTTTTATTGTATAAGTGTTACCAGTATTATGATAATGGGGCTTTGATAAACTCAGAGATGAAGTCAAACCTACAATTGTTTCAAATACCAATAAGATTTCAAAAACAATTAGTATGTCTGTTGTTTTTTGAGTGAATATGTCTATAATTAAAGTTCTCTTATAAATAAATTGTTGGTAGGAATTTGTATCACACATACTAATAAACCAATAAGAATTATACAGGGTTTTTTGTTAGCAAGTGTGAGACACATGATCTGATGTTATAAATATTTTATATAGCATATAATAAAATTGTTCTAGAACAAAATAACATTATTCATCATAAGGATGTTCATACTTAAACGCTTAGAACTTTATTAACATTGTTTTCTTTAAAGCAACATTTTTATCAAAAATTCTTATAAAAACATTGTGCCTATTGTAGACCAATTAACTTTAAGTGCAAGAGCATCGAAATAATAATTATATTTTCTTTGTCGTATGTGATATCAATATCGTATAACGTAATTATTTTGTATTCTAAGATATTTGGTCGTTTATTGTACAAGCTTGACTGTTCACTTTAGAATTTTTGAGCCTATTATTCCCGTTAATGACGATATTTTGCATTTTTATTATGATTAAACTTCTTACTTTTTTGCAAGAGCATTCTGATGCAGTGTCTGGTATGCAAAGACTTTCTGCAGTATGATTGCTTTTAAACTACTGTAGAAAATGTACTTTTTCTTGCCAAAAAATCTATGAGAAACAGGTTCAATAGACGCATAAAGATGATAATTATAGGTAACATACAGTGTATTTTATATCAAATGAATTCACTTTTTACTTCTACTTCTCCTGCAATGACAACAAGAATATCAAATATAGATAAATCACTGATATAGAACTCTCTGGTAGCTCATTAAAAACCTATTGTTTGTTTTGTGTAAAATAGATCATGAAAAGACGAATATGAAATTTTGTTTTTATAATATTGTCAATAATTTGTTGATTTCATACCTTTGGTATTATATAATAGTGTTGTATACGTTTCATATCTGGTTTATATTTGCTGTTTTTAAAATGACTGTTGATGGCCAAAGGCATATATCATGACAATTTTGCCAAATCAAATTGTTAAAAACACTCGTGCAATTTAAAGAGATAAGACTTCACGATACCCATTTTTACGACGACGACATAATGTTTTACTTGATAAGCGATAAAGCAGTAACAACTTGACTAAGCAAATAGTCTACATCCTTACAAAATATAAAAAGAAAAGAAAAAAACTTTTGAGCAAAAAATCGTTCGAACAAAAACATCGTGTCATTTATTAATAATAAATGAAGTTTATGTTTAAACTCGGGTACAGTACATATCTTATTTGTTTTTTTATTCGAGCATAAAGTCCAAATATTGTTCAGATTAAGTCAGTTTTGAGTCTTTGTTTTAGCTGAGTCAAATGATAAATGTTTCACAGATAGAATGAATACTTAAAGACCATTGAAATATATTTGTTCGATTATTTTCGGTTTATTCATGTTGGTATATAAGATACTTATAAAATGTTAGTGGCATTGTTTGTCTATAGTTTGTTCTAGCCCTGCTTTTTATGCGCCTAAATTTTTAAAAGAGAGTTTACATAAACATTGAACTCTTACAATAATGAATTATTTCGTGGTTTATATGCGTCGTCACCTGTCATCTAATTAAAGTTGAAACATGCTTAGTATCTTAGTTTTCAGAATTGCATCCACAAAGACAAGAATAACACCAGGTGTTTCTTGGTAGTTGTAATTTGAAAATTTGCGTTTTGTAAGCGGGGGCTCTATTGGCAGATATTTACTTTTCCGTAATCATGTCTGGAGACCTTGATTGCAAAACGAAATAACATTTCAAATTTAGTGACTTTTATCAAACATACTATTCAAATGATACAAGTATCTTGATGCTCTATTGACATAATATATTTCTTATTCAATGTACTTTGTCGGCCAATAATGTCTTGAGACCTTGTTGCGAAATGAAATTTCTTTTATCAAATTCAGTGTTTTTTATTAAAAGTATTAATATTCAAATTACGAGTTTAAAAACATCTTGATTATTCGATTATTCGGACAAATATTAATTATATTTTTTTTTATTTTAATCTTATGGAATTTAAAGTAGGTGCATGTAAATCAATTTTTTTTTATAAGACACTGCTTTATATTCATGTAAATTCTGAAACAAAAAATTAACATGATCAAATGTTATCTATTTCCTTTGTTTGAATAGAATTGTATTTATAAACCTAAAGTGTCTCTTGGTAATACGTTTTCAGTAACTTCAGACTATGGATGCATGATATCAAAAGTTAGAGATAATAGCCTGCATTTTTCCGAGGATACCACATTCCTTGCACATTTGTTTATTCCTCGCAAAATTTCATTCGGCTTTGTTTTTGGCTTTCATTGACAAAACCTTCGTTTAGAATTCAAAGGAAATATATGATATATAGAAGCGACTGTTGGAAAACATTAGTTTGTCCAAAAAAGTATTGTAAACGCATTGCACTCATTTACTCATGGAATGGGATGATATGAGAAAAAAGGAATAGCTGATGAAGCATTGAAGATATATGGTATATATCAACAAGGCTTCGCGACGATCACAGAACGCAGCCCGCGAAACAACCCACAACACCAGCAGGGAACAAAGAAGGCATCCAATCAAAAACAGTAGATACAGGGAGGGAAGAGTTATGATAACACTCACAAGAAGATCAATTCTATATTACTAATTAATTTGGCAAATATTTGCATTCAAAACTAATTTGTATATATTAATTAACTGGAAAAACAAACAATAAATTAACCGCTAGTCCTGCCATAATTACTGACTGCATTTTTACTTCAAATGATTAACTTAATATTAGTCAAACCGAGGCTGTAATTTTCATTTTTAAACTTACATTTTCTTGCAAAAGAAAGGGATATTGAATGAGGCGAGATAGATAAGGTCTGAGGCAAGATGGATTTGGTCTCAGGCAAGATAGATTTGGTATCACGAAAGATGGATTTGGTATCACGCAAGATGGATATGAAATCAGGCGATATGGATTTGGTCTAAGGCAAGATGAATTTGGTCTCAGGCAGGATGGATTTGGTCTCGGGCAAGATGGATTTGGTCTCAGGCAAGATGGATTTGGTCTGAGGCAAGATGGATTTGGTCTGAGGCAAGATGGATTTCGTCTAAGGCAAGATGGATTCGGTCTCAGACAAGATGGATTTGGTCTCAGGCAAGATGGATTTGGTCTCAGACAAGATGGATTTGGTCTCAGGCAAGATGGATTTGGTCTCAGGCAAGATGGATATGGTCTCAGACAAGATGGATTTGGTCTCAGGCAAGATGGATTTGGTCTCAGACAAGATGGATTTGGTCTCAGGCAAGATGGATATGATATCAGGTAAGATTGATTTGGTCTCAGGCTAGATAGATTTGGTATCACGCTAGATGTATTAGGTATCAGGCGAGGTAAAAATGACATCAAGCGATGTGAATAAAGTATCAGCCGAAGTTGATATGGGATGTAAGGGATATAAGACTTATTATAAGGAGTATTGCACAGTTGCCATAGGGACAGCTTGATAAAACGTTCGTGCATTTGTATTTGCACACAATATAGATTAATATTTACTTTACATTTAATATTATGAATTTAGATAATTATTTTGTAGTGTAAATATTAAAAAAACTAGGTTGTTGATAGCTTTTTTTTGTAAATGCATAAAATTAATGTAAAATGTCATCATTTTAATCTATCGCCATATAAAAACATAAGTATTTTGCGAGTTGAAGTACTTGAAAAAAATAGAGATAATCACCTATTAGGTTTGTGGCTTGGCTCGTATTGTATACCGCCAACATAGTGATGGAATAATTAGTATACATACGTAGTTTTTACCTACCGGTACAGGTGTGTGCGGAACAACTTCAAAGGTAAGCATCGTTAATTTTTGTGCAATAATTGGCAAAATATTTCCAGCAGAAAGATGTATGATAAATTGTCATATCATTTATGTAATCGAAGTTAACATAGAAATCCATAGAAATCCATAATTGAAATTGCATACAGCTTCAGATAAACTCATTCAATTTATTTATATATAGAGTAAGAAGATATAGTTAAACATAAGAGTAAAGACTACATCCACTGAACGCAGACCCTAGTAACATCCAGCAACAAAGCATAAGCGGCAGGAAATCAGCAGTTCATCGAAACCGAAACATTAGAGAGGGCACAAGAGCAAATTAAGAACATGGATTCCTAAACTGTCACTATTTAACATTATAAAGTCTAATAACAAACACATATTCTTTCTCATTTTAGGTATTGAGAACATTAAAGGGACTTCAATGAGGATTTTTGACATGACGGGACTGGAAATATGTATTTGAGATTAATGTACAATTTGATGTAGGTCAATAACATGTTTCCAAAATTTCAAATCATTCGCTCAGTCTGTTTTTCTAGAATAATTATTCTATACGTGGAAAATGACCCAAAATTGAAAAGGAAACCAGGCTAGGAATATCACCAAAAATCAATTTTCAATTGGTTTCCGAGTCTATTTTTAAATATCTTCTGCATATGTTTCTGTTTTAAGTGTTCCAGCTGATCTTTGTGAGAAATTAATATTGATAGAAATTAATATTTTGTATTTTTAGGCTTTTGGACCTGAGTGGAGTTTCTTAAATCAAGAAAGATTAAATTGATTAGACTGTTACATATTTATCTGACGGATAATTTGATGTTTTAGGGCATAAGCGAAAATGTGTGTGAATCATAAGTTCAATCACTATATCATACTTTTGTTTTCCTTTGAACAATATAACAATCCCACATTTTTTGCCAAAGTAGAAAAAATACAGAATCTTTAAGGAACCCCCAACACGACAATATCTACAATTACTATGCTTGAGTAAGACATGAGCAGTTGTGACGAAAATCTAGGTTAAGAACATCAGATGCGTTCATATTGTGGTTATCACTGAATCTTCAGTGTGAAATATGTGTGCCATTACGTCTAGTCAACGTCTAATTAAACATTGTTTGGTGCTTTCATTTGTGCATTTCTGTTGGTCCAGTTACTAGAGTTAAGAGTTCGCAGTAATAAAGGTTTGAGAACATTTCTGTTATTAATACGCTAGAAATAAATAAGTTAGCGCTCAATGTAGGTAATTAATGTATTAATTATAATTAGACAATGAAAAAACAACATCAAAAGTCATTACGTGATGACAGGAATCTAGATAAACATATGTGAATGAACCATAGTTGTGACGCCGTTTAATTGCCATAACATTTGTTCATTTATAACATAAAGTTGTTAGTTTACATGTGTAAAATTACTTTCCTGCTCAGAACGAGTCGTTTCGACAAAAAAATGAAGTTATAAAAGTATGTTTTAATATCAAAAACAAATTTGATTGGTATAATTATGCGTTAAGTATGACTTTCATGCGTTTTAAGAGAAACACTAATCAGGAATTTGATTTTAGTAATGTTTTATATTTTCCTGAAAATGGGTAATCGAAAAAACATCATTACAAACTTTAAATGTGTAAATAACATTAAGACAAGTTTATTTGCTACTGTGAAATCTCAAATAATTGATACGACTAAACAAGTTAAATTTGTTTATTCTTTAAAAAACTGAAAAAGATACATAATATCTGTAGCTATTTTTTAATTATGACCTAATATCAAAATGATATTTATAAAGCGCATAGATTTAAAATTAATGCCTTCATCGCGCTGCAAAGATCTTAGCTCTTGATATCAAAACATATATAAAGTTGTATTTAATTTATACCTTAAAGAATATTGAAATTAAAAATATATACAATATTTCCTTTTCTTGTGACGAACTGCTGGGTCCTGCAAAAAGGGTTGGTACTTGATTGTCGATTTTGTAAGTGAAATACAATAATTTTTCATCGTTTTCAATTTTCACAGAATTATTGTATTTTACGCATAAACACATACAGCATACAGTAGTGAGGCCTTAACCTAAATATCTGGTAACTTTTTCTGAAAAGATAATACAGCCATATATACGTGTTTATCCGTCCGTTTGATTTGAAACAAGTATGCCATCTTTCCTGTAACTATTTGTATGAATTCCAAATTCAAATTGAAATATATCACATGTTGGTATTTTTTATATATCAAAATGCCTCACCAGCAAGTCTGTGATACCTTGGAAATTGCACAACAGGTAACAAACGTAAATATGCAATGCTTGCCCAAGCTAGTTTTTGTTTAAACGTACACCCTTGAAATAAGAAGATACATTTGATTTCGTCATAAACATTTTGTTTTCTAAAAGCAGCGTCTTCGAAGAAAGTTGGTCAATGTCATTTATGGAGGGGCTAATTAATTAATTCTAGCAAATATATACATGTATCATGGTTAATTATTGAGTTATCTTTATCGTTTTAATTTTTAAAACCATCATTATTCTGTTAACTATATCAGATGTTTTGTATATACTTTTTAATTATACATGTACTTCTTAAATGCTGTTAATTTCATGAAATAAAGCGTAATAGTACATTATATTCATGTCCAACTAAGATTCTTTCCAACGACTGTGATATTCACAATGCTCTATGCGCCTTGCTTTCGAATCAATGCTTAAAAGCGATCGGCTTCGAAATGGTTGAAAAACAAATATTTATTGTCATGAAAATACACTCATTTATATTTAATCGTCTCTACAGCGTTTTAAATATCTCTTTTGTAATAAAACGTTAATGCAGTAATTTTGCTTTGTTATCGCACAAACAAGAGAATGATCAGTTATTTGATGTTTACGTTTATTGTAAGTATGATTAATTTTGTCTATGATATATATCATGCTGTTAACTCATTGTTTGGAATGTGGGGTCATGATATTAGTTCAATTATTATAATAACGGTATTTCACTGATGTTTTTTTTATTTTATGCAACGAAGGGGTAGGTCTTGTAATATAAATAGTTTTTGCCCTGTTTATAAAAATTAACTTGATATCTCAATACTTACACTGTCATCCTGTAGATACAATATCGATATATTGGCAACTACTTGCATGAATATATTTTTTTATTATATATTTTGGCTTATGTTTATATTTCAAAGCTGATTATTTTGTCACAGAAATGGAGCAATATATGTATAGGACTTTGGTGAAAGCGTTCATTTTAACAGATTTCTTACAAATTTTACGGTATCAATTACCCTTGCCAGTACTTTATTCTTAAACACAAATCAAATGATTCATAATAAATAGTGTCTTTTTTCTGATCACTTAATGTAAAACACATGACAATGTATCAATATAAAAAGAAATTTCGGGTTTATGCTTTTTAAAGAACAGGGAACAATTTTTATGTGGTTAAATTATATGTCATCTTATGTTGTTATAAAAATATTTGAGAACATTTTGTTTGCTCAATACACAGAATGTATTTGATTCCTGGCACGAAAACATGATAATAATCAATGTTATTTGATATATTATCGTTGGATTACACACTGTTTGAACATATTTACCTAAGAACATGTTAATGTAATGAGGCTGCTATGAAGCAGTCTGCAACAATTGTTTTTAAATATTTCATATAGCTATATCAGGACAAAGCTAAAAATTAATGTACTGTACTTATAAGTTCAATTTAGTCATATAAAAAGTTGTTTGTTGTCATTTATCATTTACATTTATCATTTACAGAAATATGATGCTCAAATTTTATATTTGAAAAAAAAAACAAAAAAAAAACAACCTGGTTGTTACAGTCCCTTTTGAAATGTAAGTGTAGAAGGAGAACATTAAGCAAATTATTATTAAGAGACAAAGATGATATTATTTCAACTTAATTACATTGACATTGTCCTAGGTAAATATATTGAACAAGTGTATAACGAGAACATTAAGCAAACGATTACTAAGAGACCAAGATGATATCTGAAGCGTATGAAAATATCAACAAGCCTTCTAATAGACAAATGGTGCAAATCATTGCATACAAACTTAATGTATTTCTTTGAAGTGTTTCTAAATACATCTGTAAGTACTGGTTGATGTTGAGTACTAGTATTTCAACATATCAAATGTTGGAAGTGCTAGTTTTGTCAGTCAAATTCAAAGCAATGCTAGTAACCATGTTTTTAATACTGAAAGTTGGTAGCTAGTTTTGAGCTTGAAAAAGAACAAGATCCTTTTTTCTATCTTAATCAATGGTTTTAGTTTTTTTCAAACATTGGTTACAACATCATAATAAAATATTTACTTTACAGTGGTAAATGAATGTAAAAGTCCCACCCCCTCCCCTTGTGGCTGCGCGATCGACTTTAAGAGTGGAGGCCACCGTTTATTCGTGCGTGATCGTAAGAGGCAACTATATGGGTTTGAACTACCGAAAGTATATGCATGTTTTAGCTGCAGCAGGTGAGGTGATTTTTACCCTGGTGTTAGTAACACCAGACATTAGCCCAAACCATCTTTCCTGGCGCCATATGTCCTTAATTGTGTTGGTTACCAATAAAACCAAAAATGATCAGAGTGACCTATTATAGAGCTAGTAACGGTTTATCATATAATCATAACAAATGTATCCATTGGCATGAGGATTTGACAAGCTGTGGAAACTATTAAAATAATTTTTAAATGTCTATTTTCAATAACTGGCAGCAGACTTTCTGAAACGATGCAAATATGCATATTTAATTGTAAGTTAATATATGCATCATTAAAATTATTTCAGTAAGAAAACCTAATAAATTTTAGATATTAAAATCATTAAAAATATAATATTTGAAACATATTAATCAACGAATATGTTTTTTGTATATGATATTATTACGGTAGTAATTACATTGTACTTAAGTGTGAATAAATGTTTTATTCATGACAACTATTTTTTCACATGCCAATTAAATCTTAACACACGTCTTCCATGCACACACGTTAATAAATATTCTGCTATAGTATCAATCCAAACATAAATTTGACGACAAATGCTGTCGTTCATTTTGCGGGAATATTAGATTGATGTGCAAGATCCTTTCCTCATTTTCAGTAACAATTTTTTTATTTGGAATAAAAGTGACTAAGAAGAGGTATAAAAACGATAAAAGAAAGTTTGATTATAACATTTTATTTCCTTTGCGTTGTTAAGACTTCAAATATTCATGAGATAGTAAATCTTAAGAAAAATGTTAAAGTATCATTTGATAGGACATATACATGTTAATATTTTGTTGACTCATACCAGCACAACAGTATAGTGGTTTATAATTATGGTTGTGGGTTTCATCTCGAAAAAAGGATAGCATTTAACTGACGTATCCCCTAAGCAACCCAGCCATACAGGACAACCGGCACGGTGCCCAGCAGGACGCCAAATAAAAACAGAAGAGTGTATGGACAAACCATGCAATCAATTGAATTACTTATTTTCAACAATACCACGTACTTCCTCGTTTTCTTGGATCATTCCATATCTTTATTTTAGTAAGGAGACATTAGCAACAAAACCTTTAGACATGTTGATGTTAACAAACTATGTAAAGTAAGTAATGGTGTTATAAAAAATTGAAAACACGCATAGTAATTGGAATAGCTGAGAATTATAATAACACTTGGTTATTCACTGATGACACATTTGTTGTCTTAAACTATTAAATTCGTAAATAATATTGAATCATAC